AGGTTAATTGTGTAATATCTTCTAGAGAAGCTTCTTAGAAGCTTCATAGACGCTGCTTTGACTTTATAGGAGTCTATAGTTGACTTTTAGGCTAGAAACTTGGTCAACAAGTTAGCCATGTGCCACACATGTTGGAAGCTTAAAGAACAAGCTAACTACGTGGTCCATCCATAGAAAACTTGCCTTGCAAGCAAAGGCATGTGGCCTAGAAAGTCAACATATATTGGAGGTCTTATAGAACATCGCCATGTGGCTTCTAGTTAGATAGTATATATAGAGGCAAGAGTGAAGCCCTCTTCACTCTTGTCAACTCCTTTCTTGCTTCTAGTCTAGTTTCAAGGGTCTCTAGTTTTCTTGTATTTTGGCAATAGCCATTCCAATTTCTTTCTTAATATACATATTTCTATTTTGTCCTATTTCTTTTTGAGAAAAGTCTCACTTACTCTCTAGCTTTCATCGAGTTCTTGTCCTTGACATCTAGTAAATCTTATTATTTTTTTATCTCAATCACTAATCTTAAAATAAAATCTTGATAAAGACATGCTCCAACAAGCTTAGCAAAAATCTAAAATATGTGCCAATATGAAGTACTCAAGATTCTTGTGATTCATATATATAATGATTGGACTAAAAGTGCCTTCTAGATAATGATGTCATTCTTAAAATGAATCCACCATTGCAAATTGTTTATTATCATAGATCTTATAGTTAAGCTTGGCTCCTAAAAATTTCTTCAAATGAAAAATTATTGAGTGTAATTTGTCATCTGCTCCTATTTATGATAACACCACATCCAGAGCAAAGTCTAATGTGCTTTATTCTATAAAGAATGTCTTAAAAAAATGAATCTAATATAATATTGTTACAAATAAAAATGATGTCTTTAAGGCTTTTAAAGATATTTCAACTTCTTTGCTCTAATGAAATTTATCTTTACAAGCCAAACGTATAAAAAGAACCTCAACTTGAGAAAAAGATCTGATGAAGATCCAATAGTAATTTATAAATTTCAAAAAATATTACACATTGGTGACTATTTTTAAAATCTTTCAATCTATAATAATCTAGATCTTATTAAGATCCATCATAAGACCATTGTTTAAGATGATGTATTCTAAAAAGATAATTTAAGTAATGTGATAATCTTACATTAAGTAATTTAATTAATGTGATAATCTTAATGTATAATCTTACATCTCTTAATTTTTGTAATACAAAAAAAATATGAAATTCATATTTTTTTATATTTTTAAAATAGATTAAAATATTGTCTACATAATAGATCTTAAAATCATTAAAAAACTCACAAATGATATCACTCATTACATGTTGAAAAGAAACTAATATATTTGTGACTCCAAAATACATGAGATTATATTCACAATGTTTACACTTAGTTTGAAATGTAATTTTTTATTCATCTCTTTTTTTAATGCATATTAGATTATATATTCCTTATAGATCTATTTTTGTATAAATCTTAATTTGATTGAATTGATTAAGATGTCTTGAAATAGAAGATATCTATTTTTGATGGTGATCTTGTTGAATCTTCTTTAGTCCACATATATTTGTAGAATTTTGTCTTTTTTTTCACAAATAAGATAGGAGCTTTTGCTAGAAATTTAGAATGGTATATAAAGTTCTTAGCAAAGTTTTTATCAATATATTTTTTGAATACAACCAACTCATTTAGTAATAAGCTATAGATTGGTCCAAATGGTAGTTGAATTCCTTCTTAAAGATGAATGGAATAATTATAGGAAAAATATTTTAGAAAAATATGTCCATTTTTTTTTTCAAAAATATCTTGATAATCTTAATATTGATTTGGAATACTATATTAAGTCTTATCTCCATCAAAAATAGGTGTGGCATATATAGCAAAAATATATCTTATTTTGTAGCATGTATGAAAGCTTTTGTACCTATTAATAAAGATTTAGTTATATTAGAATTGTGGATTTTTACTTGACTAAAAAAATCTTGGACTAAACTATAAAAAATATCAAAGTTACAAGAAATCTAGTCTATTTAAGGATTATACTTCTTCAACCACAATAATCCTAAAATAATTGGCTTAAAAAGAGATTTAATAACATTAAATATTACTAAGCTATTATGATTTTTAGTTACTAAGGTTATTAAAGTAGGATAGTATGATAGCAACAAAAAAATAAGAAAAAATAAAAGCATTGGAACAAAAAAATCAATCAAATTAATAAGGTTAGTAATTTTTTTTTTTTATATGACAATGTTAAATCTTTGAATGATATTAATTTTTAAATATGTGCTAGTTTGCTAGAAGATACTAAAACAAAACCTTGGAATTATAGTGTCCAATCCCACAAGCAATGTACAAAGAGCAACATATACACCACAAGTGAACTTGTAAAAGTTGTTGACTACATTGACATAAAGCTACTACGAGCATTGTAAACAATTCTTTTTGTAAAGTAGAGCATTTCAAGAAAAGATTCTACCACTGTGGCTAAGAATAGAGGAAGTCAAGACAAGGATTAGGAATAGGAGAATGGGAGGTTAAGATGAGAGCTAGGAATGGAATAAGCATGGACTAGGAACAAAGAGGGTAGAAATGATGTTAGTGATGGTTTCTAGAGATGATCCATTTTTCTAATAATAGTTATAATAGGGTGGATTGATTTAGTAAAACAATGAGTCTATTTAACATTCTTCTATATTTATTAATATAAATATTTTTTAATAATAATAATTTTTTATTAATTATATTATTAACTTTTTATTTAAATGAAATGATATGTTAGTAGAATCTTATAAAAATTTTAATGTATAAAAAATAAATAAAAATATTTTTTATTAAATATTCTTTTATATATAATTTTTAAAGTTATTTCAAATGTTTGTTCAACCATCTATTTAAAAAAAAAAAAAAAAAAAAAAAAAACATCGTTTTTTTAAAAATACAAACATACTATCCTACTTTAATAACCTTATTTATAAAAATAACTATAATAATCATATGTCTAGTGCAAGGGGTCATGCAAATTATTAAGTTTATATTTAAGTATGCTATACATCTTTTAATTTTCAATACATCACTATTAGGTATAAATACAAAACATATGTAGATCGATGTGACTTAGAAATGTAAAACTCAATGGTATGTATTTATGATGGTACTTTTACAAAAGGTGATGAGATGTTTACAAATAATAAACCAACTTGACTCTTAGTATTACAAATATGACTGAATTGTTTTGCTCGCAAATATGTTATCCTGCCGAGGGAGAAAGTCGTATTAGGTATCAGATTGGGGGATTATGAGAGAGGTGAAGGCAATGGTGATCGGGAGGTGGGTGGGGGTGAGATGGCCGTTGGTTGCAGCCAGGCAGGCAGGCAGTCATGCAGTCAGTTCCTTCCTAATCATGTTAACCAGGCGACCGAGATGAGGCACTAGTTGTATAGAAATGGAAAAGGATGGAAATGGCAGGAAGGGGAGGAAGGGAAGGGGAAGGTGAAGAGGCGCGGGGATCCAGGATTATGCGGGGTTGCAACAATGCAAAGCAGATCAGGTTCTATAAATGGTGCAGGCGACTGAACTTTCGATGTCTTTGATCTCCGTGATTCCAGAACGGGAAAGGACAACCAGAGGAAAAGACATCACACCCGGGACACGGGTGCTTATCAGCTGATCTGGACCCGCAATTTAATAATGCACCCGCCCCTCGCGCTGCCCTGCAGGAGGTGGCTGGTGTCATCATGCAGGCCAGCGCATCGACCCGTCCCCCTCCCCGTCCTCGCTCCCCCACCTCACCCCCGCCCTTCCTTCCGGCTGTACAGATCCATCACTGCGCTCGGATGAACCTTTGCTTCATGTCCTGCCGATTGTGTAGCTCGCCAGCTCAAAAAGCCGCCTCGCATTCATTGCATGCACGTAGCGGCTTTGCTAAAAGTGGGAATGTGGTCAATGTATCCAACATCTTTCATTTTACCCCAAATTCCACTGCGTCGTGGCTCGTGGTGGAAGCATCTCTCACCGCTGGAAGAATCAGCTTACGCGGCACGCAAGTGATTCATCGCTGCGACGTTTGCCCTGGGCTGCCCAGTTCATCGCTCTCGCACCAGTGGATTCGAGACTGAAATCATCTGACTTGACAGTTGGTGGTCAGTGTTCACTGGCATACCTTTGCTAGTGAAATGGAATAAATGGTCTGGTTGGTTTCCTCTCGTCTTTTCATTCCTTTTCGGATCCATTGAACTGCACATGCTTCAAAAAGAAGATTATCTTCAGATCGTCAAGACATGAATTCTTTTCAACTACTCCTCTTGTGTCATAAAAGCCAGACAAGGAAGAACTGCTGCAAGTCCTGCCAAGCTGTATAACGATTTCTTTGGTTTGTGTAACATTAAAAAGGATTTGCTCTGTTTGTAAATCTATAGAGACAATCATTATATTCTACACAAAGGTAATTGGTAGATGCAACTAGGGCTTCATGACACTCCTTCGTTGCTTGAAGTGTCCTTGAGTGAATGTCTAACGAGTCCCCGGACAACGTTCGGAATGTACAGATTATTCGAGTGACTATTGGTAAAGTAGATCACCACAGAATCATTGTATTCTTCGACGACTAAATGACACTACCAACCACTACCAATAACTTCCCTTCTACGTCCTGCCTCCATAACCAACAACTAGTTTGAACGCGTCCAATGAACTGCTCGGCTAGAAGGGCAAAGATGCCTGTATTATACTGAAACATCGTAGTTGAGATGCTGAATCCTAGGAAGCATGAACAAACGTCCCAGCATTAGATTGGAACTCTAATTAACGAATGTGTAAAGAAGTGTTCATTGGCTCAAATGGATGCAGCGTGCATTCGGCACACAAAACGCAGTTTCAATAATACTCTACTTTTGTCGAATACAAGTATCAATACAACAAACAATATGCCAATACTTCTGTCGAATGTAAGCGACAGTATGCTTTAGACTTATTACTAGAAAGATTTCTGTGGATATGGAATGAAAATTTCTGAGTACACATAGCTTGTAGCAGAGATCGTGAATTCAGCTCTCATGTTAAGACTCAATGGTCAGTACATCTTTTCCCAGCTTTCTCAGAATCATGGAAAATCTGCAACTCGCTGTAGAAACCTATATCGAAAGAACTTCACCATACAGCTAGCAAAAACTTCATGCATTCTAATTTTCTTAACTAAACAGTAGGAGGCAATGTAAAGATTACGCTTCAAGTACTCCGGCACCTGCATTAGTGGATGTATGAGATGTCAGAGGTTTCCAGCAAAAAAACTCGCTTGCCAATTCAACATTCACACAGTCAGGGAGTAATAAGTAGTAATTCTGCATTAGCAGCAATGTTTACAAATGCAGTCCATCCATTCTGCAATCGAGATCGATTGATTGTCACGCGTCAAAGCGTACTAACTACACAACAATTCCTCATCTCATTGGCATTAGCGTCTGGTGTCTGCATACCAAGGTAGTTCAATTCCATTACTGGTCAAACGCAAGGTGTGACTTGAGAATCAATGGACGGCTTCATCATGGCAGAAAATTACGCAATTGATGATTCAATTTAAACTTCATGGACTTGTGGTGATAATATCTTCAATTCCTGAAGACACGAAACAAAATAGAACTGGTTGTGGCAGTGCTTGTTAACAAAATTTCAACACGTCAAGGATACTTAAACTCTATGTTTCATCAATATCTAAATGACCACTTCACAGACAACCGGGTAAAAGGGTGGGCTGTAACATTCCATAAAATGAGAGACTTCGATATGTGTTGGCTAAGTGCAGAAGTAATACAGATGATACCTTCAAGGTCTTGATTTCACTTGCTGATCTGCTACAATCATCCGATCTCGCAACGAGGTGGAGACCATTGCTGTACCACATTAGTGTATTAGTCCGAATAAGCACTCATCCAGAATGAAAGTGATCCCGAGTACTCTATAAAACATGGAACCAGAGCATCATGCTAGACTACATAACTGTAGTGGGGGGAGTGGATTGCCTCCTCAGATTTATTGACCACTGCGATGGTCGAACATTTCCGAAGCACATGCACTTTGTTCAAACAGATTGAAGTCACAGCACGGGTTTACGAGGACTCCAAACAGAGTTTTGAAGCAATCAAAAGAAAACGAACTGCACAGTAATGTCACTCACCTGATCAAGTAACAGTGGTATCCCACTGGATAACATCTAGTCGTGCCAATGGGAGTTCCGGCGATAAGCAGGAGGAACGGATTGTGTTGCAAGAAAACAAATGTGATAGTTACAAGTAGTTCACGGGCCTCCATGATACTCTAGCATGCATGAAGGCTATGTCCGAATCCTTCAATGCTCACATTCTCTTGAAAGAGGAAATGGAGAAGGTCCAGACATAGACTCCATGCAACGTCAGAGAAGCATGGAGACTCAAGAACTCTTTGTAACACTTCTGTCTCCATCTCTATATCCTGATTGATACATATTATCTTCGTTGACCACGGGGTAGCAGCAAATAGAAGCATCGCTGACCTTGATGTAATCAATCTCAAAAAATAGTACCTAGTATTCGTCGAAGAGACCCTTGAGATTCGATGTATCTACCAGCAAATCAACTACAGGCTTACACCTTCGAAGTAGTATTCAAGCAACTTGTGATCCATTCAGAATGCAAGCCCAATAAACACGGAATACTCACCACACCACCCGCACATCAAGTCTCAACTGCACCAGAAATATCATTCAGACGAGATAAGAATTCGAACGACCTCTACACGGAAACCAAAATTTTCGAACATAGAACTTGGTCAAATTCCTCGAGCAGACCTGACAACTTCAGTAATGATAGCTTAGTTAGTCTCACAAGAGCAGACTCGTCCAACCAACCTGCAGCTGATTAAAGCCAACGCTCATAGGTACAACAGAGAGTACGTCCATCTGGCAACCACACAAATACTAGGGGGATGCATTCCAATGTTTCTAATTCACAAATCCTAGCAGCTCAACAGCAGTACGAATTTAGAAGCCTCTACCACCGATTGACATGTCACAAAGTGGACGCCCTAAAGGAGTCATCGAGAGCTGGTCGGATTGCCAAAATGATAAATTCGAAGGCCAGTATGGAGTACGACACTGCATCGAAACTGATACAAATCCGTCGGGAAGTGTTAAATCCGCTTGAAATTTGCTCACACCAATTCCAAGTTGAGCGATCAGCTGGAAGTACAGGCTGAATGCACTTTGTCGAGACGAGAGAGAGTTTCCGAATACTCCATGCGATGATCACCGGTAAGAAATTACTCGATAACAAGGTTACGTTGCTTACGTCCAATTGCAAACATACAACATAATCAGAGCTGAGACAAATGGATGCAACTGATGTGCAACATAACACAGAATTTCTTAGGGGATGAAAAATAAACAGAAGATTAGAAACGCAACTAGGACGCCAGGCTTCGGCTTCAAACTCCAAGCAAAGTCAACGAGTTGCGGGCAGGCCGGCTATCGTCAGCCGGCACTATTGCCATCGAACCTCGGCAATCCGAGCCAGCAACGGCCGCTGAAAGTATCTATCTGGGAACCAAAACAAAATTGCTCTTGCGAGCACCTAACCACGACACCTCTACAGACATGATCATTCCACACATCGACCGGTACGAAATCGCAGATCGAAGCGGCAAATCCTCTTTCTGTCTGAAGCACGAACGACACAAACCGCTCACTGGGATTGGGGAGAGAAATCGAGGGAAGTGGGAGTAAACAGAATGGATTTGCTGGAGGAGGGGGTGGCAGATATATAATATGGGGGCAGGTGGATGCATGTGGAGGGCCCAGCTGACGTCGCTACAGGGACGCGGAAATCAAAACGGCAGGGGAGTGCACAGCTGAGGAGTCACGATGACCGAAAGGGGAACGCTGCCAGGCGAGGCTCCAGCCAGAAATGGAAAACGGCGGCTACATAGTGTAACACTTCTGAAGCATGGCATTCCCACGGCTCCGTGGAAGGCGGGGCAGGGATTGGAGTGCTGCTGGTGCTGTCATTCGGGTAGTGCCGTTCTCACAACATTCCCTTCCCCTCCCTCCCTTCTGTCCGCATCATCGCTATCTTCGATGGATCACTCCCTCTGGTCTGATTCATGGCCGCGACTATTCCTCCCTCCCTCTGCCTCTCCCTCCTTCACTCCGTCCGTCCGTCCGTTTGCACGCCCTCCCAAGATGCTTCCTGCTTGGCTTGGCTTGGCTTGGCCTGGCCCTCCCGCCCCACCAGCCAGCCAGCCAGCCAGCCTGCCTCCATTCCTCGCAGGGCTGGCTGGATTGGTGCCTCCTCCTGCCGCCGGCAGCGTCCATCATCGCGCCTCTCCCTCCCCCTCCCGACCTACGGCCGCCGCTGTACGATGGGGGCTATGTCGCTTTCGTGGGTGTTTCTCCTCCCCCACCCCCGCCCCGCCCTGCCCTGTCAGTGCCCATGATTAACCCGATTCGACCAGGACACCTGTACTGGGCGAATGAAGAGGGAGGGAGGGAGGGATGAACAACGAACGAAGCTCTCGGACATCCCCCCCCCCAGAAATAAATAATATAAATAGAATAAATAAATGAGTGTTCCCCTTTGGACACCCCCTCGCTCAGTTTAAATCGAGCCCTGTGCGGACAAATCTCGGGTCAAAGCTCTCTCTCTCACACATACACACTCTCTCTATTTTCTCTTTAATTAATTAGTTAATTAATTAATAACACGAACCCTCTCCTTTGCCTTTTCCTTTGCCTTTCCTCTCCTTGGCCCTTTTCCTTTCAAATCCCCCCCCCTCTGTCATTCAGTAATCACTCACACTTGATTAGCCTCGTTTATGTTTTTCTTTTTTTCGTTTTTGTTGACATATATGGAGTATACCTGCCTCAATGTTCTAATAGGGATAGATTGCATTAGTGTCCTAAAAGCCTATTTTTAGAGAAAACTATGGGTATTTTACCATGTATCAAGTTAAAACATCTATCCTAATTGGTTCCTTAGTTGTGGTGTTTTGTTTAATGGTTATGTCACGCCTATGAACCATGATTTCTTTTTCTATTCACATGTTATTTGAGTCATGAAAAAAAATGTGGTACTTAGTTGTGGTTTATTCTTATTTATTTTCTCTTAATATCTTAGCAAGAACTGACTTGTAATTGTTTTCTTCATCCCATATGTTACGCAACATGAAGAAATTAGAGGTTAGAAAGGAGTTTAACATGCTTGAGAGAAACAAATGCTTTTATTTCAGTAAACTGCCTCTCAATAAGTGCTTATCAATTGGGTTATTTTGGTTATTCACATTGTTATTTTGGTTATTTAGTTACAGACTATTTATTACTAAGTCTAGCAGAACTCTCTCTCTCTCTCTCTCTCTCTCTATATATATATATATATATTTGTAGCAATGTACTTACTATTTTGTTTTAATGAGAAATATTTGTTGAAGTTTACACAATGATAAAGTTAATATATTACATTAATAAAATTAATGTTTATTCGAGTTTAAATTTTAAAACATCATTAGAAATATTTTTTTAGTTTTTATATATCATAATATAATTGGGATGTGTAAATTTTTATTTCAAGACCCAAACTTTAATACATATAATAGATATGATTTTATTAAAAAAATAATTAATTTGGATTATACTAAAAGAACTAATTAACAGATTCCTTCAATTCGGCATATAGCTTATTGTCAATATAAGATATATATTAGAAGTAAAATAAGAGAATAAAAAATCAAATGCATCTAGATTCTACTTGATTTAAATTTTAGCTAAAATAAAAACTAGAAAAAAGATGCACATGTTAGTAATATAATTATAAAATAAAATAAAATATTATAATTTAATTGAAGATTTAATTAATTAAATAAATCTGTATATTTGTTTCAAGCTTTGCTTAAAAACCAATTATAAAATTAAAGATTAGAAGACTCTTGTAACAACCAACTTTAAATATAATAATATAAAAAAATATTATGTTATTCAAATATATTATTTATAAGAAATAATATTAAAAATAGTATTATTTTAAAATAAAATAAATAAATCAATCAAGAAAGATACAATGTTGTTGGATGATAATTAAATTAAATATTTGAAAGATAAAATTTATTTGGCATAAAAGGTAAAAAATATCTTCACATAAATATAATATCAAATGTTAGAATGCATTCATAATACATAAGGCAAAAGAATAGCCCCAAATTTCGACTAACAATAAATAATATAAATTTAAAAATTCCTCAATATAAACTTAATATAATAAGAATAAAGAAATATGAAAAAAAATTAATTAAAAATAAATATATGATATCTATTTTAATTGGTAAAGAATTCAAATAAAACTACTAATATAAATAAAAAATAATAATGCGGTCTATAGAATCAAGAATATTTAAAAAGAATCCTTGGTTTTTAAATTGGAATAAGTATGTAATATTTATCTAACATAGATTGTGTTTTAAATTCTAACCATTAGAAGAAATATAAAATATAAAATATAAAATATTATAGGAAAAATAATTAGATTCTTTAGAAATTAGTAAGTAAAAAGAAAGTGTGAAGAAAAAACAAAAATAAAAAACAAAAAAATACACATACATACACACACACACACACATATATATATATATATATATATAAGAATGTTAAATAGATCCAACTTTGATGAAAAATATGGTAATCATGATGAATGTAGTTAATAATTATCAGTTGTAAATCTAATAATGGATAAATAAATCTAGAGGTTATTTATTTATTTAGTAAAAATTTGGATCCGTATAATGTTTCTATATATATACATATATATATATATATATATATATATTCATATATTTATTATAATTAATATAAGCAATACTTACTTTTTAATGAAGAAACCATGTTAGAAAGTACCAAAAATATTTAATGCAAGCACTTAAAATAAATTTGGATACACAATTATCACAAAATATCCACTCTTAGATAAGTAGGTAATAAGAAAAATTGTACTAATATCATTCCAACAAATAGCACAAAAAGAAAAAGAAAATATTTACTTGTATCTAACAAAAGAAGATATTGAATTTAAGTATAATTTGTGGTTATTTCTTCTTATGATATTTAAAATAAATAATAATAATAATAATAATCTAATATTTTTTAATAAATATAAATTTTAAGTATATTTATTAAGAAGAAGTAGAAGGAGTAGATAAAATCACATTCCTTTTCTTCTTTTTCTGATCATACATAAGTCTTAAAAGTAAATAATACTCTTTCTTTCAAATTTCACTATTTTAATAAGATTAAAATATATGAGTAGAATTTAAGACAAAATCAAAAGTGTCTAAAACTTTTGTTTACATCTTATCTTCAAGGATTTGTTAAGACTAAGGCTATTTTATTTAAAATAAAGAAAAAAATATCTCTCATAATATATATATATATTACTTAATTTTATTAAATCCCTATACAATCTTATTATAATGGTATTAAAATAATATATATATATATATATTATTTATTTATTTATTTATATGAAAAAATTATGTAAAGCATCAAAAGGACATTTTAATTTTCTAAGAAATTAAATTGTGTGGTGAGAAACTTTAAGAAGTAAGTAGATCTTTGCAGCTATGTTGCAACAAGAAATAAATTTATATAATTTAAAATGTTTTACACAGAAAAAATTATACTGAAGTGAGAATTTTTAGTTATTTTTATAATAAGCATTTAGTAGACGATTTTGGTTCATCAATTAATTGGTCATTCCTAAAACTTGTACTCAAGGAATATCTAAAAGACACAAATTGTTAAAAAACAATTTCTATATTTCTTACAATAATTTTGAACATGGATAATACTAAAAAAATCAACACTAATAGTCTACTTAAATCATTCATTTGTTATTTTAGATTTAAAAAGGAATAAGATAATAAAAATTTGATTAAAGAAAAAAAATCACATAAAGATGCTTGCTAAAGAAAAATGAACTTATTTAAATTAAAATTTATTATAAAATTTATGTTTTAATTAGATTAAATATTTAATTAATCATATAATTTATTTGGATATTTTTAAATATAATATTTAATATATTTAATATATTAAATTTAAATAAATATTTAATATTTAATTTATATTATATTATATTATTTTAAAAATAATATATATAGATATATAAATATGTGTGTGTATATTTTTTTCTAAATTATTTTTCTTTTGCTACCATTTCTAATTCACAAATTAAATAAATAAATGGAACATATTCTACATTTTTTTAGACTTAAAATACACATATTATATAAATAGATGAGTAAAAAGGTATTTTACAAACTAAGAAACTATTAATGACATAAATACATCCAAATAATAGTTTTTTAAATAATAAAATTTTGATTGAAATGAATATAAATGAATAAAGTTAATAAGATTGTAATTATCTATTTTAGCTTATTTTTGTAAGTAAAAAATATGCATCAATTTTTCATATTTGATAATAATACAATTAATTTTTAAAAGATTCATTATAAATTTAATTTTTAAAAATAAAAAACTTAAGATATAAATTAAAGTACTATTTAGGGAGTCCAATTAAGATTTTTTGTCCTTGTTTTTATTTTTTCTAATATGTAAAACTAAACTAAGTTTAATTTATTAAGTAATTAATATAGAAAAAATATGAGATATTAAATAAGATTTCATAACAAATAAGTCTAATTTAGGTTGGTAGTATTAGTGTATTATTTTTGTAATCACATTTTGTATTTTTTTTCTTATTAATATAGACAAAGCACGGTTGGCTTATTTGCCATTTGTAATTGCCCTTGCAACATGTTATATGTCTTGTTTGGTAAATATTTTAAGTAATTTGTAGATAGTCTTTGAGGTGTTAAATAACTCTAATAATTAGCTTAGAAAAATTATATCTTTAGGTGTTCTTAGATCAAATCTATCATCTTTAGGTGATTTGATCTAAAAACACCTATCTGACATTGTTTTCCAATCCTATATTGAAGATTTTTATTCTTGTTTCTTTTGTGTCCTCAATACGTAGCTTGACAAAAAATCAAATTTTCTATTATATACAACACGAGATGTTAGATCAAAACAGTGTATAAAATTTTTTAAAATTTTATTATTGGTTTA